CTGTCTGCAGGAAACACACCTAGCTTCAAAAGACAAATTAAAACTCCTAGTTAAGGGTTGGAAGACAATTTTTCAGGCAAACGGAATTGAGAAGAAAAGAGGAGTTGCAATCTTATTTTCAGATATGTGTGGATTTAAAGCAACTAAAGTTAAAAAAAGACAGAGATGGTCACTTTATATTGGTCAAGGGAAAAATACAAGAAGAGATTTCAATTCTAAATATTTATGCACACAACTTAAATGCTACCAGATTCTTTTTTTCTTTTTAACTAATTTTTATTTATTTATTTTTCTGTTGTTGTTGCAGTTTGGCCAGGGCTGGGTTTGAACTCACCACCCTCAGTATATGGGGCTGACACCCTACTCACTGAGCCACAGGCACCATCCTGCTCCCAGATTCTTGAAACAGACCTTACTCAGTCTGAGCAATATGATTTCCTGTAATGCCATAATAACAGGGGACTTTAACACTCCTCTTACAGAGCTGGACAGATCCTCTAAACAGAAATTAAACAAAGATATAAGGGACTTAAATGAGACTTGAGAACAACTGTGCTTGATAGACGCATATAGAACACTCACTCCATCCCAAAGATAAAGAATATACATTCTTCTCATAGCCCCATGGAACATTCTCCAAAATTGATCATATCCTAGGACACAAAAGAAACCTCAACAGAATCAAAAGAATTTAAATTTTACCTTGTATCTTCTCAGATCACAAGGCACTAAAGGTGAAACTCAACTCTAACAAATTAGTTCAACCCCACACAAAGGCATGGAAATTAAACAACCTCCTGTTGAATGACAGTTGGGTGCAGGGAGAAATGAAAGAGGAAATCATTAACTTCCTTGAGCACAACAACAATGAAGACACAAGCTACCAAAACCTGTGGGATACTGCAAAAGCAGTTTTGAGAGGAAAATGTATCGCTTTAGATGCTACATACAAAAAACATAAAGAGAGCACATCAACAAACTCACAAGTCATGTTATGGAATTGTAAAAATATGAACAATCTAAGCCTAAACCCAGCAGAAGAAAAGAAATACTCAAAATTAAATCAGAGATCAATGAAAGTGAAAACAAAATAGTTATTAGGAAAATTAATGGCTCAGCGCCTGTGGCTCAAGTGACTAAGGCACCAGCCACATACACCTAAGGTGGCGGGTTTGAATCCCCAGCCCGGACCCGCCAAACAACAATGACGGCTGCAACCAA